TCCATAGGAAAGCATTGATAATGCTTTTCTATGTGACCGGCTGAATGCGCGCGCAGCCCTTGCTGCGCGTGCGCATTCAGCCGACGGGGCGGAGAGGAGGAGGAGAGCTCTCCGCCCAGCGCTGGAAAAAGGTAAGTTTTAACCCCTTTCCAGAGCTGGGCGGGAGGGAGTCCCTGAGGGTGGGGGCACCCTCAGAGCACTATAGTGCCAGGAAAACGAGTATGTTTTCCTGGCACTATAGTGGTCCTTTAAGGAGGTCAACTGGCACATAAGAAATAGATAGCTAGATGAGTTGTGTCACGCCCTGCCTTTTAATGGTGTCGCCAGAACTGATATGAAATAGTTTATTCTGAATCAACTGAAGAAAAACAAACAGTGATATAACTGTGTAAAAGGCTGACCCCTCACACGTACCCTTCACCTGTGATCATCTGAGCATAAGATATAAAGAAAATGTACAGAATATATAGCAGCAAAAAAGTATAAGATTTACATCCCTGGTATCCCTAGCATAAATATATATTTATATAATACATTTAAAAAATGAAGATGTATTGTATAAAAATATATATGCAAATATTTCTAACAGAGCCTTGCTGTGAATAATATGAATCAAATTCTGTATTCTGCAGTACAAAAAGATACAGATTAGTTCTTCCAAGTCTTTTAATTTCCAAACATAAGAAACAGTGTATTTATTTTCTTTTCCCAATTCTTCAATCTTCAAATAGGGTTGCAGCTCAGTGTGTGACCTCAGTTTGCTATCTCTGCACACCCAGCTGTGTGTAGCATAGCAAGATGCCTTCTGTCCACGGCAGGACAAAGGACAGAGATATAATCTTTCAAATCCACAGAACACAGTTATCATTTTCATCTATTGTTTCATGTGTGATTGTAGAACGCAATTTAAACCACTATTAATATTTTTTATTTTTTTTAAATTTTAGGCAGATCTTGACAATTAAAATGTCAAATACAATTTTAATCTGATACATATTATGTTTAGTTAGGTATTTCAGATTTGTTCATAACTGGTTTGGTTACTCAACAGTTGCATTGTAATAAATGTCAAAGTGTAGATACAATTTATAGGACAATTTTTTCTGTAGTGTGCAATAGCAGGTTATATGGACTTGTTCAAAAGAAGAGTTTGCTATCTCAGCTGTAGAGAACATATTTCTCTGCCAGAAGCAACTGGCCACTCTTTACCCCATGCTTTCTGGTAGTAAATAAAGTTTCAAGGGGTGCTGTCTTTATCACAGTCATGAAGGAGGGGAGGAGTCAATGGACTCAATCAATTCACTGTTAGCATCACATTACCATTCCAAAGATTGATAAAGATTGATATAGCAATTTTAGAAATATATGATTTAATTTAACTTAATTTAATCTATGTGATCATGATGCCCAAGTGCAGACTTTAAAAAAAAAATCTGCTGCCACTTCTAGAAAGTTGTACTGCTACTAAAGCTTTTAGGGTCTTTATAAACAAGGTATTTGTCTTCGACCATTTTTATTTATCTATTTTTGTCACTCCTACTGCATGTGACAAATGTATGTAAAAGAGCCTGTGTGAAACATTGCAAAATAAAGGACACTGCCTACTGCCAAAAGCCGAGGTGGAGAACATGTTTTTTTTGCCAAGGACCATTTGCATATTTATAACATCATTTGCGGGCCATACAAAATTATCAACTTAAAAATTAACCTGCTATATTTGGTCAAACATTTAATTAACTCAACCCTATTGTGATGTTTGGAACTGCTTTTCTTTGGTGAGTTGTGTGATGTTAGTTGGTATTGATGATGTTGCTACTCACAACTCACTGACACTCACATGCTCACTACTAACAAGATCACAGACACAAGCTCACTACAGACAAGCTCACTGACACTTGCTTAGTACAGACAAGCACACTGACACACACATGCTAACTACTAACAAGCTCACAGACACAAGCTCCCCACAGACAAGCTTACTGACACATGCTTACTACAGACAAGCTCACTGACTCACACACTCACTGACACACAAGCTCACTGACACATGCATGCTCCCTACAGACAAGCTCACTGACACATACATGCATACTACAGACAAGCTCACTCATGATCAGGCACATACACACAAGCTCACTCTCAGTCATGTGTTGCTGAGTAAGTCTACCTGGCACTGAATGCTGTGGGAGCACTGGAAGGTAAAGTTCCCACTTTCCAGCCTCTTCCTGAGCATGAGTGCAGAAACATCAGATATTTGAGCAGTGACAGTACATAGGCATCAGCCATGCTCCAAACAACGTCATTAAGCAGAAGCGTTTTTTTGGTGCTTAGACACACTTTTTAATATATTTATAATATTTAATGGTGCAACACTTATATCGACCCCTTGGTGCCAAAAAGAAAAAAAGGACCCTCACTATCTCTTCTTTCTGTAAGTCAAAATCTGTGAACTGAACTTATTTGTATGTCTTTTTAACCCATTGTATAGCACTGTGAAAAATACTATATATTATAATAATACCAGGGTATATTCTTAACAAAAAGTGTGCCTAAAGAGCGAGAAAGTCTAAATGTGCAATACATAGCGTTCGACACTTGCTGGCCTGTCATTGGACAAGACCCACCAATTAACAATTGGATAGGAGGTATTTTCAATATGAGAACAACAAAGAATACAAAGTAGTTGTTGGGCGGTATTTATTGCTGAGAGCAACAGAGTTGCTTTTATGATGACAAAGTTTTAAGGGACCTAAATAACTAGTAGGCACAGATTATACCATTGAAATCTGTTTACATCCTGAATCCAATTCATTTTACACAGTGGGAATTTCAGTTAATCAAAATCTGTATTCTAATCTGTTAGAGATTAACCATAAAGATAAGCAGTGAATTAAATTTAACACTGCGTACATCCTCGCAGTATTACACTATCTCTAGATTTTCTTTATAAATAAATGCAATGAATTTTACTGTGAACTTTGAAAACATAGCACAGGTGATGTTGGACCATTATGACTGACATCTGTCTGAATTTGCACAAAACAATTACTATATTAATATGTTTAAAATAAATTGAGTAATTTAGTACTTTTCAATGAGTTTCAAGCACCTCTTAAAAAATCATGTAATTGGAGAGTAACAGGACACTAGTGCAAGTACAATATACATCATGTATGCATCAACATTACACCCCTGATTGATGTTGGTAGTTGATTTTGGCAACTGTGTAATATCTGTAGTTCAGCGTAACTGAAAATAAGATGGACCAGTCAATATTGTGATGAATGTTTATTATAAAAGGTATTAAATTAAATGTTACGCCCAGAATTTGCAACTGCCACTTAAAATTTTTGGAGAAACAAATACATTTAAACAGCAGACAACTACAATGAAGAAATGAATGGGTTTACGGTGAAGTCCAAAACGCCACAAAGTATCCATCAGGGGACTGAGCATCTGGGCAAATTGGCCATTAACTTATTAATAGGCATGGTTGTCTGTCTGGTCCAAAATATGCCCTTTACTTCTTGTGTAGCACAACTGAGCTGCCTCTTACACACTGGTGAGTGGAAGCGGGTGTGTTGAGTAAGACGGGGACATGAAGCATGACATATCCTTGCCCCCATCTCCCAAACAGCTCAGCCATGTACCAGTGTCAGGGTTGGGCAGAGGCAAGATTGAAACTACTGATGGCGTAGACAGTGCACTTGCACCAGACATGCTAGAACTTGGCAGTTACTGACGTAAGACACAGAGTTTAAAAAATTAGATAATCATATTTAGTTATTTTCTTTTCAGAAGATTTTATTGTGGTGTACTGTTATGGGGGTGTAAAGGATAAACAATACAAATGGGATAATGCAGAAAGAAATGTGGAAAAGCAGTAGAGTGAAAAAATAAGGAGGGCTCAGGGACATTAAGGGTTTTGGTGGTTTTTGGTCACACACCCATATTAATAGGTGGCAGATGAAAATGCTGCCCTGTGGTATGTACAAATTAATTAACTACAATACAGTTAAAGAAAAAAAGCATAAAGTTGTAATCCTGCTCTTTATCTTAACAAGCACTTGGACAACATTTAAATATACAGTCAAACATGCATTCATACAGATTCCTTTATGCTATATGCACACATGCAAATACAATTATCTAACACACTAAATATGAATGTCTAACAAGTGTTATTTATTTAACACATTTGAAAGGCATAGAAGGTCCAACTTTTTAAAGGTTCTAGAGGTACTTATACAATATATAGGTATATATATATATATATATATATATATGTATGATAATATATCTATATTTATTTTTTATATGATATACTTTATAACTGAGCACACATTATACTCTATTTTATAAAAAGCATAGCAACTGTTCAGCAGAGGGTTCTCACAGAGAACTCTGTGTTGTGTATGATGGGAAATAATTCTGCTGATATCAACAGAGGAAATGCCTCTGTGTTAAAGGACCACTATAGGCAACCAGACCACTTCAGCTCAATGAAGTGGTCTGGGTGCCAGGTCCATCTAGGGTTAACCCTGCCTGCTGTAAACATAGCAGTTTCAGAGAAACTGCTATGTTTACATATGGGTTAATCCAGCCTCTGGTGGCCGTCTCATTGAAAGCCGCTAGAGGCGCTTCCGCGCTTCTCACTGAAGACGCCAGCGTCCATAGGAAAGCATTAAGAAATGCTTTCCTATGGACTGACTGAATGTGCGCACGCCTCTTGCCGCGCATGCGCATTCAGCAAATGATGTCGGAAGAGGGAGAAGTGTTCCCAGCGCTGAGGGAGCCTGGCGCTGGAGAAAGGTAAGAATTAAACCCCTTCCTCCTCCTTCAGCCTGGTTTGTTTTCCTGGCACTATAGTGGTCCTTTAAGGTTAGCGTTAGAAGTAGCGTCAGGGTAGAGATATTGTTAGTGTTGAGTTAGTGTTAAAGCTGGGATAGGGTTAAAGGACCACTCTAGGCACCCAGACCACTTCAGCTTAATGAAGTGGTCTGGGTGCCAGGTCCAGCTAGGGTTAACCCATTTTTTCATAAACATAGCAGTTTCAGAGAACTGCTATGTTTATGAATGGGTTAAGCCTTCCCCCTAATCCTCTAGTGGCTGTCTCATTGACAGCCACTAGAGGCGCTTGCGTGCTTCTCACTGTGATTTTCACAGTGAGAGCACGCAAGCGTCCATAGGAAAGCATTATGAATGCTTTCCTATGTGACCGGCTGAATGCGCGCGCAGTTCTTGCCGCGCGTGCGCATTCAGCCCAGGAGGAGGAACGGAGGAGGATCGGATGAGGAGAGCTTCCCGCCCAGCACTGGAAAAAGGTACGTTTAACCCCTTTTCCCCTTTCCAGAGCCGGGTGGGTAGGGGACGAGTATGTTTTCCTGGCACTATAGTGGTCCTTTAATGCGGTTTCATGGCTGGGGTAGTGCAGATTTAAGCTTAGGCAGAAGGTTAAGACAGGTGTATGTTAGTGTTAGTGTAAGCATAGGGTTAAGGGTAGAATTGGTATTAGCTTAGCATTAGTTTACCAAGATTTTATTTAGATCCTAGACTCTACTGATAGTGAAACTATTTTGAGTTGTATTTAATATGTAAATGATTTTGTAAGCAAAAATCTGAGGGAAAAAAAAGTTTTTTTTTTTCTTTTACCTTTTTTAACATTTTATTTACAGTTAATGTTGTGTTAGGTATACAAAAGGTTTACTTTCTGTCCTTTAAAAACTATTTATAATATGTTTGGGTTTGTTTAAAGAAAATTACAGTGGATCAATCACATTGCAAAAAATGTAGGTTTTGTTTTGTTTTAGAATTTGTACAATTGTCGCTCTCCTTAAATGGTTAACAGTGTAATATGCTTTGTTTGAACAATATCACAAAATCCTGTTAAGCTTTACTTATTCATTCTACATTTTGGTTATACAAATTCTCCATAACAGATGAAGACATATACTAGGCAGGTCAACATAATACTAAATACAGTAGAGTTTGCTTTTCTTGAACAAGTCTTATCGTGCATTGTCCTTTTATTCTTATCTCAAACTCTTATCGCACCCATTGTAGAGATTTACTTGCTTTTGTTAGTCTTCAGAGTCTTGACAGAATTAAACATGGCTTCTCATGAAAGCAACCTGACCTGCTCGATATAATGCAAAGTATATTGTTTTAAAAAGGAAGCTTAAAAAGCATTTTATCTCCTACATAAAGAAACAATACATTTTTAGGGATACGGTTTTATATATATATTTTTTTTTTATCCCAGATACCTACTGTCATCAAATATATCCTTTTCTTCAAAGGATACATAATGAATGCAACTTTTCCTCTGTATTCATTTTTAGCTCTTTTATAGTTCAGATAAAGTAGAGTTTTATTTTTTAATATAATACAACATGGTTGTAATGCAGAAGAACACGCAGTTATTAACCACAAAGTCAAGAAAATACTGTGACTATTTTTTGGTGTCCAGATCGTAGATATCCAGGCCAGTTTTAACCGAGGAGGGGAGTCTTCTATGAGAGTCTTTAAACTGAAAATCTGGGACAAATACAATAGAGCAGATTTATATAACAGAACAAAAACAAGTCAGATACAGTTGGATTGGCACTTTGTTAAATATAATCCGGTAGCTATGCTCTTGGTGTCATTTGTTATAAAATCTCAATTAACCAAAGCAAAATCTGGAATGACATTCAATGTAATCAAGACTCAGGTTTCAGAAAGTATTTAAAAGAAAATGAAAATATAGAAACATACAACTTGCAAAATAAACTGTACTATTGATATGTTTGTAGTTATTTGTCACTGTTCTTTTTCTTGTGCATCTGGAAGCAATATTGTTAATGCAAGATGTAAAATGCATTCTTCTACTCTTTATCAGCAACATACATTAGAATACATGTATATCTAGAAAACATGATAAATATGTACATGTAGATTTTTTGTTTATGATTTTAAAGTTTCCAAGAAAAGAAGGGAGAATCTGTATTGTTGCTTGCATGTAGGAGTGGATGGTAGAAGCAAATGTTTCCAGAAAAAAAAAAAAGGATAGAAATTCAGTTCTAGAAGCAGTCTGAGCAGTTAGTTATTATATCGGCTTCAGCAGCAGCGATTATTTGTACACAGAAGATCTTCTACCTGCCTGCTTTCATCATTGTCTAGATTTGGGGTTACCAGATTTTTCCAGTGTTGCACAAAACATATTTTGTGTTTTGGAAAGTATGAGAAAATATAAACAAACAGACAGTTTCACGACATTTGCATTATAATTAAAACATGAAAAAATTATTAAAATTGCGAGACTTAGACCTTGATTTAACCCCTTAAGGACACATGACGGAAATATTCCGTCATGATTCCCTTTTATTCCAGAAGTTGTGTCCTTTAGGGGTTAATAAGCTCTCCAAATGATTCAATACTGTTAGAAAAACTTTTCAAATGGTTTATCAACAGAAGTCACCATTGAAGTCTATGGCACATTCTGTAAACCTAGAAACAGAATGTGACAGCAGATAAGAACCAATTTATCCCATCTAGTCTGCCCAATTTTCTAAATACTTTCATTAGTCCCTGGCTTTATCATATAGCTAGGATAGCCTTATGCTTATCCCACGCATGCTTAAACTCCTTCACTGTGTTAACCTCTACCACTTCAGCTGGAAGGCTATTCCATGCATCCACTACCATCTCAGTAAAGAAATACTTCCTGATATTATTTGTAAACCTTTGATAGAAGAAATCATTTTGAAAATGTTCCAACAAAATCGAGTAATTTGGAAAGCCTATTAAATCAACACCCTAGATGGCTGAGCTTTGGTCCTTCTGAAGCAGTAGAAAGAGGGAAGTGCTCATGCCATTGTACAGTACACTGGTGAGACCTCACTTGGAGTATTGTACGCAGTACTGGAGACCATATCTGCAGAAGGATATTGATACTTTAGAGAGAGTTCAGAGAATGGTTACTAAACTGGTTCATGGATTGCGGGATAAAACTTACCAGGAAAGGTTAAAGGATCTTAACATGTATAGCTTGGAGGAAAGACGAGACAGGGGGGATATGATAGAAACATTTAAATACATAAAGGGAATCAACACAGTAAAGGAGGAGACTATATTTAAAAGAAGAAAAACTACCACAACAAGAGGACATAGTCTTAAATTAGAGGGGCAAAGGTTTAAAAATAATATCAGGAAGTATTACTTTACTGAGAGGGTAGTGGATGCATGGAATAGCCTTCCAGCTGAAGTGGTAGAGGTTAACACAGTAAAGGAGTTTAAGCATGCGTGGGATAGGCATAAGGCAATCCTAACTATAAGATAAGGCCAGGGACTAATAAAAGTATTTAGAAAATTGGGCAGACTAGACAGGCCAAATGGTTCTTATCTGCCATCACATTCTATGTTTCTAAGACAAAAACCATCAAATATATATCAATTTTATCCCCATACATACTTGCATATACACATGCATCATCATACATGAACATATGGTTCTCATTATCTCATCACCCTCGCACAAAACTATGTACCCCTGACCACTTATACACACTTATCATCATATATAAATGCATGCATACACACTCTTCCTCATGCATGGCTATGTTCAGTTTGAAATTAGTACACTTTGCTGCTACTCCTACATACAATGTACTCTGGCAGGAGACAAATCTTAGTGGGTGACAATTAAATAACTCTTTATTCAGACATGTCATAGAAATATAAAATAAGCAAACAAATTACAAACATAATGGATGTATCTATGTAAAGGGTTTGAGACAAGTACACAAAAGCTGGAAATGTGTACTATCTACCCTGACTGCTTGCTCAAAAGATATCTAATATTAATATATACAGCAGTAAAATATTCAAAAGATTTGAAAAAATGCTTGTCCTTTTATACACATATTTTTCAATCTCAAGTGCCTGACTCCCTCTGGTAATGCTAAGGAGCAAACTGATCCACTCTTTGTTTTATATTTAAAGGAACACTATAGAGCATACAAACGTCTATTCCTGACTCTATTGTGTTAAAAACACCATGTAGCCCCTTAAATATAGTACAATCTTAACATTAAACCAATGTCTGATGCTGCTGGCTCTGCACTTGATCTGCCTGCTTGTCTGACATCATCAGAAGTGGTGATCTAAGCCAATCACAATGGTTTCCCATAGGATCGTCAGGGGCAGAACCAGCACAAGCCAAACACAGCCCTGGCCAACCAACATCTCCTCATAGAAATGCATTGAATCAATGCATCTCTATGAGGAAAGTTCAGTGTCTCCATGCAGAGGGTGGCTACACTGAATTTCAGAGGAAGCACCTCTATTAGCCATCTAAAGAGTGACCACTGGAGGTGACCCTAGGCTTTAATGTAAACACTGCCTTTTGCTGCAGGCTCTGAAAAGCCTGCAGGGACTGATAATACTCACCAGAACAAATACAATCAAGTAGTCAAATAATTTAGATATTGTTTTACAATTTACCTGTGGCACAGTGTGACTGTCCACTCCTCTACTGGAGCCAGAAGCTCTTGGAATGTGCTTCTGTTAGCTTTACTGAGCTAAACCCTGACATGCAGCAGCAGCTAATTGGCTGAAGTTGACTACTTATACTGAGAGGGTGCCAGGGCAGTAGTGGTTATGGTGCTTCCTTTAATGAACTGTATTTTGTCATTTCAGCACCACAAACAATAGCAGTGCATAGTAGTGCTCTCTGGTATTTTATTTAAGGGGTTCATTTAAACAATGGTCTACAGGGCCAACCATGCTTTGCTAGGTAGAATAACTTGCAATATATGTCTTGTTGGGTCTTGTGTATAGACCCACTATGATTTGCAATGGAAAAGGGTATATTTATGCTTAGGAAACTACAAAGTCATCTACAAAAGAGTCAACGGTTTCACTGATTCTATTATTTCCTGCAAAGAGGTCTCACTCTTGTCAGAAGCTTCTTTATTTTTCTCAGTGCAGTTTACAAACACCAGTTAGGTAATGGCAATTTGGCATACTATTCATACTATTGCCGCAATGCATTTTTTTGGGTGATTGGCTCTAACTAATCCGATAAATATGATTCAATGTACATCATTCTGTAATGAGATATGCTGTCAGCCTCCTGCCCAATTAAAAATATCAAACGAGGACAGCATGGCCTGAGTGGCAAAGCCCCCAGGCTGGTATGATTTTAATGACTTGAGTCACAGTAGGTGGTCACTTGCCTACCACAAATATAGCATAGGTCAGTATAGAAAAGCAACCCACAGCTTTTGCCGAACCTCAAGGGGAACTAAGTTTTCAGCCACATGTCATGAAAAATTGTACAACTTCAGGGTACAGCATTATCATTTATGCATGAAGATTTAGGCTTTTAA